GGGCCGGGCCGGGCCGCAGGTAGGAGCGGGCACGGGCACGGGCACGGGCCCGGGGCGCGCGTGTGCGTGTGCGTGTGCTTCCAGGTGTGCGTGCGCTTCCACGGGTGCATGCATGCACGCGTCCAAGGGTGCACATCCGTGGGTATGCATGGGTGCACATGTGGGTGTGCATGTGTATATGTGTGCGTGCTTCTGTTGGTGTGCAACATGTGTGCGTGGGGGGGGGTGTATGTGTGCTTCCATGGGCGAGGGTGTACACTTCCACGTGTGTGTGCCTGCGTGTGTGCTGCCATGTATTCTTGCATGGGGGGGGTGTGCGTGCGCATGGGGGGGGGAAAGTGTCTGCACGTGCTTCTGTTGGTGTGCACATATGTGTGCGTGGGTGTTTCCATGTGTGCGTGCATGGGGGGCTGTATGTGCACGCTTCCATGTATGTGTACGTGGGGGGGAGTGTGTATATATGAGTGCTTCTGTGTGTGTTCTTGAGTGCTTCCATGTGTGCATGCATGTGTGTGTGTGGGTGCGTCCACATGTGCACATGGGTGTGGATGGGTGTATGCATTTGTGTGCAGGCGTGGGTGTGCACGTGCATCTTGCATGTGTGGGTGTGCGTACATGTGTACAGGTACATATATGCATGCATTGGGTGCACCTGCATGCACATGTGCACGTGCACGTGCATGGGTGTGCGTGGTTGGGAGCAGTACGAGGGCGCTGGGGAAGACCTGGACCCATCTCGTCCCCCAAAGGACCCAGCGGGCAGAGCCCTGGGAGGCCGCCCCCAGCCCCCCGCCCCGGCCAGAGCCGCCCCCCGAGTCAGGACCTTCCTGCTGGTCTCCAGCCCCGTTCCCTGGCTCCAGTTCAGCCCGTGCCCCGAGTCCTGCCCCACAGGGAACATCCCGTCTCCATCCTCTCGGCCATCGCCCTTCAGGTGTTTGCAGACCGTGCACAGTCAGATCCCCGCTCCGTCCTCTCCTCTCCTCTCCTCTCCTCTCCAGGCTGGATAACCCCAGCTCCTTCCTCCATGCAGGACGTGGCACGGAGGTTAATTCGGGGCCCTTTTCCTAGTTTATTCCAGTTCTGCTGGGCTGCATTAGGCCTGCAGACATCAGGTTTTGAAGCGCTATATACCTTTTTGGGTTTCCTCCGGGAGCTCGATGCTTAGCCTGTTGTTGTCCCGAGTCCGGACGCCAGGCAGCGGTACCCCAGGCTGGCACGGATACCTACCAACTAGACCGTAAGCGGTCATAGGCATCTGTAAATTCAGTCCGTCAGTGGCTTCCTCCAGCTGCGCTCGTGTGAGTTTAAACGAAAAGATTAAACATGTCACAAGTCCAGCAGGAGCGGCTGGAGATTGCAAGGGGAAAAAATGAACCTCCAGAAAGTATTGGTTCGTTGAACTTAGGGGAAAGTTCGGTACCAAATCACCGTGTCCAGCCCCGCCCCGCCGTGTGGAAAGAGAACTGAGTTGCAAATGCAGTGCTCCATATGTTATTTTAAAGGTTTTTAATTTAATTTTAATTTTTTTTTTAAGTGAAAATCCTGCTTCCAACAAGGGGACAAATACTGAGAGGTGCCAGGAACTTGCCACTGCCATTCAGGGCACGATTTGACTCCTAAGATTATCCTTTTTGGCGTTAGGTGGACAATCTTTGGACAACCAGAGGATTTTGATGTTTGCTCCCAAAAGCGGTCTGTGTTGTTCTGTACCTAGAGTAGGGATTTGGTGACTACTCGGCGTTCCTTGCAAGTTATGGGATGTTAGATGCAAAATTCAACATGTGCCTTTAGCTAACTGAATGCTGTCGGTGCGATGTAAGGTGGTGTGTGGAAAAGTGGCTTGCTTTACAGTGGATTTGCTTCTTAACAGAAAGGAAGTGAACAGAAATTACCTTCTGGGGTGGCTATAGCCTCTCATTCTCTAGGGCACCTATTAGAAGTATAAGATGCGTCTACACATGCATTAATGTGCTTTAATTTATGCACATTAAATCTAGTACTGGGGCATGTCTACATGTTCATTAATGCGCTTTAGGTAATGTGCATTAAATCTCTTACCTCCATTGTGAAGTACTAGAAAAAGGCACATTAGCTTATTCTAATGTGCATTAGCTATAGAGCAGAGGTTTTTTTGTGACGCTTTAATGCACATTAAAATAGGTTAATGCACATTAAAGCGCACGTGTAGGTGCGCCCTCCATTGTGAGGTACTAAGAAAATGTGCATAAGCGTGTCTTAATTTGCATTAACTAAAGAGCACGGGGTGCCTATACATGTGCATTGAGGCTGCTCCGACCCACTGTAATTACAACCCTTCAGAGCAGACTTGATTGATCGAATAAGTACCACGCTCCAGCAGACTCCAGTGTCACGTGTATCAGTGTCCCTGCGCTGGAAAATGGTGGCAGGGGCGCTTTATCCGAAGTTCGTTTGACAAGCTTTAGTTAAAGCACCCCCGCCACCATTTTTCAGCGTAGGGACACTGATAAGCATGATGCTCCGGGTGCTTTAATTAGAGCAGATCTCAGAGCTGCTCTAATTAAAGTGCCCACTCGGCTCCTGGAGCACACGTATAAATGCCCATGGTTTTTAAGCGACACATAATGTACATTAGTCTTTCAATGTGCATTGACTAAATAGCATGGATTTTCAGTGATGCTTTAATGTGCATTAATATAGGCTGATACGCATTAAAGTGCACATGGAGACTAAGTGATGCTAGGAGCAGACATTTCGTCTGAGTGCTCAGTTTTACTGAGGCTTCAGCTCTGATTCTGTCAGGGAGAACGGGCTAATTTTTGCTCTTATTTGTGCAGGTGTAATCCCAAAAAACTGCTGGTTTCTATAGAGTTACTCTGCATGTATACTGCAGCGACTGCACGTAGAAGTTATCTGGTAGCTGAAGCACTTGGAGCTCTCGGGCATCTGATGGACGGCGTTGTAACAACGTCAGGGTTTGAGGCAGAGAATTCTTGTTTTGCACGACTTCGAATATAGCCCCAAATTACACTTTTCCGTTCATTGAGATGCTTGGGTCCTGGAGCCGGGAAATGCTCTCGGTGTGACACTGGTGGCTGACTCGCTCTGCAGACAGGTTGCCAGCCGTGGCAATCAGCACCGTTAGAAACCAGCATGCATTGAATATCCCGAAATAAAAACTTAAGTCGGTGCTGTTCTCGGTGCCTGAGGACGCGGAGGCGGGGAGCAAAGCAGAGGCACCAACACAGCAATAAGGAAAGGAAAATCGAAACAGCTTAAATAAGCAATTCTGGAAGCAGCGAATGCAGAGAGCTAGCTCAAGGGCCTGGCTCTCTCTCTGGGCTGCCGGCGCCACCATGCCGCCCGCAGAGTTTGCCAGGGGTGGGCGTAACGGAGGCTCGGGCTCGGCGCCTTGCTCTGGCTGGTCCCCAAACCTCAAACCAGTGCCAGCTAAACGCGTTTCAGCTGTAAGTCAGTCTTGTCATAAAAGCCTGACCCAGCGTGTAGGATCGCCCCTGCCATGTGCCGCTATGCAAGCCAGTGCCCCCACACAGGAAGTGTCTGCGCTCTTTATCTTTGCCACGTGGGAACGTGACCGCAGCTTTATCTCGGTTTCTGTGCTTGCTCGCAGGCTCCGCCGTGGGAAATGGACTCCCGGCACCCACCCCCTCTGCGACCATCTTTCCTCCCCGACCCGACGTCTGCAAGAGAGATGAAGGCGAATGCTGCCGAGCTTTCCCTTTGGACCGTCATAGCGGCGATTCAAGGGGTGGAAAAGAAGGTGGATTCTCATGCCGCTCGGTTGCTGAACCTGGAGCGCCGGACGGTGACCACTGAAAAGAAATATTTTGACTGCGAGAAAACAGTCGTGGATTTTGGGAACCAAATGGAAAGCAAGTTGGCGGCGCTGGGCACCCTGATCCAGGAGTACGGGTCGTTGCAGCGGCGCCTGGAGAACATGGAGAACCTGCTCAAGAACAGGAACTTCTGGATCCTGCGCCTGCCCCCGGGAGCGAAGGGGGAAATGCCCAAGGTAAGCGCTATGTTTGTCCAGGCCATTCACAAAGAAATGACTCCAGCCCTGGGCGTGGGAAAGGGTGCTGCCAGGCACCCACCCGGTGCCTTGTAAATGTAAAGCAAAGCGATCTGTGCATCGGCATTAGCAGATCCAACAGAAAATAACGTACGATTCACACAGGAAGATTCACATTTACACGTCTCGCTGTAATCACACTGCTCACCGTGATCGGGAGCTGCAGTGAGGCTGTTTACATATCTAGCTAGACCCATAGAAAATTCAGGTTGAAGGGAGCTCAGGAGGTCACGTCTCATCCAAGCCCTGCTCCAAGCAGGACCAGCCCCACCTACATCATCCCAGCCAAGGCTGTGTCTAGCCGGGTCTTAAACCCCTCCAGGGATGGAGAGTCCGCTGCCATGCCCCGTGTTCAAGTGTCTTTCTGTCCAAACTTGCAGCAGCAGCCTATCAACAGAGGCAGGTTTCTGGGGATGTCCAGTGTGAAACGGTCACGGTGCTTTCGACGGGAAATTTGAACACTGAGGTTTCGTCCTTAGAAAAGTCTTGCGCTTGATGCAGTCGTACAAAAACCGAACGCAGTTTGGCTGGCAAATGCCGTGCTCCTTTTCCTCCACTGCTCTAGTGCATAAGAGTGCCTAGCGTGACCATTTTACAAGACCGATTGAACCAAAAAGCCACCAGATCTGTGGACTTGACAAACTGCTTGATTTTTTTTTACCCCGTTTGTCAATTCTGCAGCAGTAGCCTTTGGTATGTGAGGCTTGTGCAGACTGAATGGCTTTAGAGGTGAGTTGATTGTGGCCCAGCAAGTAGGTCCTGTGCAGTGTGGGCTCTTCTTGGTATAAAGAATTTGGAAACTTTACTGAATGTATAAATTAAAGAAGTGTAGGCCTTGAAGGGACTTCAAGAGATCATCTAGGCCACACCTCTCTGTTGAGGCAGGATCGAGTATGCACTGCCCATCTCCCCTTCCCCAAGGCAGTTGTCCAACTGTTCTTGAAAATCTCCATCGATACGAACTCCACAAGCTCCCTGGGCCACCAGCTCCAGTGCTGAGCCATCCTCACAGCTAGACCAAAGCAAGCTAATTGCTTCTCATCCTAACCCTGGCAAACGTGGAGCATCACAAATCATCCCCCTTTTGAGCACAACCTTTCACCTATCGGAAGATCATTATTATCTCCCACCACAGTCTCTGCTTTTCTGGGTCCTTCAAACACCAGAGGCCATGGTCTCCTAAACCTCTTATTCTTTTTGATGCCATCCTCTGAGCTCTCTGCAGTTTGTCTACATCAGTCCTAACATGCGGTGCCCAAAGCTGGATCTAGCTCAGTGTTTCCCAGCCGGCGTGCCGCGGCACAAAAGTGTGCCGTCAGAAATGAACAGGTGTGCCGCAGAATGTTGCCATGGCAACGAGCTGCAATAGGTATGAGGGTGGGGAATGCCGTAACAGGTGTGCCGCGAAAAATTTTTATGAATGTAAGTGTGCCTTGGGCTGGAAGAGGTTGGGAAACACTGATTTAGCTGAGACCTGCCCCTGAGTTGACATCCCTGTCGATACAGCCCAGGATGCTGTTTGCTTTTTTTCTGCAAGCGGAGCGCACCGTTGGCTCGTATTCAGCTTCCGGGCTAACGTAGCCCCCAGGGCCTTCCCCGCAGCACTGCTGCCCAGCCAGTCATTCCCCAGTCTGTATTTGTTCATGCAGTTATTCTTTCCCAAGTGCAGGACTTTGCACTGTCCTTGTTGCATCTCATCTGGTTGCTTGTGGACCATTTCTGCAGTCTGTCCAGGTCATTCTGGATCCCAGCCATCCCTCCAGAGCGTCTGCGACTCCACCCAACTTGGTGCAGATTTGCTAAGCATGCACTCAGTCCCGTTGCCTGCATCCATGAGCAGTCTCACTGATGTCAGCAACCCATTTCTGATTTAAAACACTGTGAGTGAGGGTAGTCGTAGTCTGGAGCTCGCAAGGGCTCTCCCAGGAATGATCGTAAGGGGATGAAGCTCTCCTCCAGCTGGTTCGGCGTCATTCTTCTGGTTTGTTACACCGTTCATGTCAGTCCTGAATGCTAGGTCTGCTCGGGTTGTTCCTGCTTGTTTCCTTGCAGTACTGACACACGTCGGAGCCCATAACAGATGCATCAGTTTTCAGGAGAGACGCGTCTGTCCTCTGCTGTCTCTCATCCCTTATGCCAAGGTGCTGGGCTCTGACCTCTGTGCTTGCAGGTCCCGACGGGTTTTGAAAACGGTGCGGCTTACTTCTCTGAGCAGGAGTGGAAGAACTTAGACGAATGCCAGAAAGAGCTTTACAAGAACGTGATGAAGGGCAACTTCGACTCCCTGGTCTCTCTGGGTAAGGCTTGCTCTTCACTCATTCATTCAACACTCGGGGTTCTCGGGGTGCTGCCGGCTGAGGGCATCCGTCCACCACGTGGGTTTGCTGTGCCAGCGGAAGACCCCGTTCCCCCCACAACACACCTCTTCTTGCAGGGACGTTATGACTGAGGTTGGCCGAGAGAGCAAAATCAGGCATTGCGCACGGCATGGTCCTGGCTCGGCACTGCTGTCGGGGAGGCAGCTGTTACGGTGGCTCAACACATCCTTTGTGGCTCCTAGGAGCAGCGTGGCAGGAAAGCAGCATGGGGAGTGAGTGCAGGGAACAGCAGACGTTGCTTCCACGTACGCTCTCAGGAAGCTGCCCAGACGTAGGCGCTCCTACCAGCCACTGGGAAATACCAAAGCACCTGCCTAGCGAGAGCGTGACGTGGTAGCACGTGCAGTGTAGTACGCAAGCCCCTTTGTCTCCGGAAACAGTGACGTGGAGAGGCTAGAGCAGCACAACAGGCCATCTTAGACCTTTGTGTTGAGCTAGAATCCTTTCCATTCACTGTCTAGGTACTTTAGTCGGCTTTTAGCTGTGCTGACTTAAAGTTTGGGGATTTGAAGGCTAGGTTAGCATCAGTGAGGCTAAGGGAAGTAACGTAAAAGGAACTGAGTCACAGACGAAGAGAAACTTCTTGGAAGACTAGCCAGTCTTAGGACAGCTAATCTCGATAAAGGGATCGGGTCAGCGCGTGCTGTCTTGACTAACAGAATGACGTACAGGCATCTTGTTACTGTACTTGTCGACGTTTCTATCAAGTCGTGTCAGCCTTTGTCTGAGAAGCGGGATAAAAAGGGGCTCAGTACTCTGAGACGGGCTCCTCCAGCTTCCTTTGCTGAGGGTCCCGTCTGCAGACGTCGTGAGGATCCAGCACCTCTTAGGACTTAGTCTGTGCGTCTGGGTAAGATCTCCCTAGCAGGCAGGTTAGCAAGTCATCAGAGTTTAAGATGTAGGGATTATAAGTAGTAAGACGGCTCATTTCTGCTTGGATCATAAAAGTATGTCTAGGGCTATTCTTTATTTGCTAGCAGTTGTCCTCATCGGAAATTCAAATAAAATGTGCTGAGGTGTTCACTCCATTGAAGCACTCATTGCATGAGAACAGGTGCTCTCAAAAGAGACCCGCAGACCCCCAGGTCTCCTAGGAGTCAACACCCGCGTGCTAGAGGGAGCGTTGATATCTTTGTCTGCCCGCAGACTACGCAATCTCCAAACCTGACCTCCTCTCCCGGATTGAACGCGGGGAAGCGCCTTGTCCTAGGGACGCGGGGGACTCGGAGGAGCGAGAGATCCCTGCAGAGCCCAGCACAGGTAGGAGGGAGGCAAAGAGTGCATCCTGGGGCTTTCCTGTATCGTTGCACCCAGGCAGTTGGCGAGCTGCTCTAGAGGCAGCTTCTCACGTGGCTCTGAAGAGTGCAGAGAAGCGGCC